AAAAATAAGTGTTTCATCTCTCTCCTGTGGCATTATGCCCACATAAGCAATTTCGTCTTTTTCTAGAGAAATTTAAATTTGATTTTATTTACCTATTTCTTCTGATTCTCTACAAAACAAAAAGTTATTCTTTCAGTTCTGGATTTAATTATTGATGTATTACCTTTTATTTATTTTTATTAATAGTGGATCTGATTTGAATCTTGATCCGTAGTTTTTTTCATTCTCACTGAAGAGTTGTGCATCAATTTAGATTGAGATGATAGTTATTAGTTTTTACTAATTAATTTGTGTTTGACTTAATTTACACAATTAATTTTATTTTTGTTCGAAACCCAATAGATATTATATGTAATAGAATCTAAGGGGGCAGGAGAAGACCTAATTCGCCAAACAATTAGCACAATAATTTTTTTTTACGATAGACATATTATATTTTGATATTTTAATCTTTTAAAAGTTAAGTCTTGATAGCTAAAATTAAATTAGAGTTAGCATTAATAGAAATCAACTCTTTCTTAAGAACTTTAGTCAAAATTTGAACCGCAAGTGCAAGAACACCGCCAACCTGAGCACATGTTCCCACATGTGGAGGAAACTAAATGGTCTTTGGGAGGATTTGAGCAATGGTTTGACTTGGTATCTTGGTGATGCTACTAGAGCGAGATTTTTGATATGTTCTTTTTAAAGAATTTAAAAATACTAAAAATATGAAATTTTAATAAAAATTATTTACCATAATTAATCGGTTTCTTTAAAGGATTATGAGGGTTGGTGTTAATTTCACTATGAATTCCGATTTATATTATTATCTTTTGTTTTTTGGGTTTAACTTTCATTAATTTTATGTACATTCACTTTTTTTTAAGAATATATAAAAATTATCTAAATCGAACGTATAAACTCTTATAAAGAGAAAAATATATTAACAGTTAAAAATTTGATGGTGTTTTAATAATTTTAACATAAATTGAATTTAGATTATCAAAAAGCGAAATATATGTTCTTTATAAATTAGTCTCTTGTATTAAAGTCTTTAACTTTAGTACATAACTCAGGTGTATTAGTTGGACTCTACTGTACTTTTAAAAAAATTTGTTATAAAAATAAATAAATAAGATTTAAAAAAAAATGTGAGAGTAGAACCCTGAGTAAATTTATATTTTAATTAAAATATTAATTTTAAGTCCAAACCAAGCCCAAGTCCATTTTCAAATTGCCCAAGCCTGTTGAGAAAGTGGGCCCCATTTGAGTCCTTTAAGTTCTAATCTACACACTCCTACACACTATAAATTCTCCCGGCATTCCTAACCGCTTTTCAAAAACAGCCCTGAATTCTCGTTGCTTCTTTTCTTCTTCCTTCCATTACCAACGACTTGTCTGATCTCTTTCCCTTCTTCCCTTTCCACCAAAAAAAAAAAAAAAAAACCCTAATCTGAATCTGTTACTTCGCTATTAGGAGCTTGATTTTGTCTCCATTTTTGCACTGCAATCAGCCTTTTCGGATCCTTTTCCAACCAACACAATCTCTCTCGTTGCCACCCTCATCCATTTACACAAGCAGCCGCAGACTCATCCCTTCTCTCCGTTTCTTCTTCTTTACCATTATTCATCATCATCATCATCATCTTCCAGAGAAAACAATGAAAAAACCCTAAACACTGATCTTCC